ATCTGCTTTACTCAAAGTCCACCAATCTAAACGTAAATCTCATCCAAAAATATGCTCACAGAAACATTTAGAATCATGTTTGACCACGATCTGGGCACCATGGCCCGGCCAAGTTGACACATAAAATTGACCATCACCCTGGATAAACTTGCTCCTCTGGGGAGGAAAAAGTTCCAGTATTCTTTTGTAAACAAGAGTGTTTCCCAAAAAGAACSTAAGTAGAATGGCAGGGAATGCCAGGGTGAGGAGGAGGAGGGGACTCTCAGCCTCATGGAGGATCAGCTATGTCCAGAAGTCCAGCCATTGAAAAAGCCTAAGGGGATAGATAAAAGGAACTACATGGAAGGAGGAAAAACCAGAGGGAGAGAGGTGAGGAGACCTGGGTGTGGGGGAAAGTGGGTTCTCACACTGCCTTGGACTCAGAGGCTGCCCCCATCTTCTCTGCCTGCCTGTGGACAGTCAGCCCCCTCCCCTCCTCCATATTTAGTGATCCACCCGTGGCTCCCTGCCACTAGGTTTATTTGGAAGCAATAGATAAATGTCTGCACTTAGAAGCTATGAAACGTCCTAACTGGCCCCCTTAGACTAATAAACATAAAAAAAAATCCTGATTCAGGCAGCCTGATGGGCTCATTGGTGAGAGGGAGATAAAGTTTCCCTTCAGGACATTTATAATTTACATAATAAAAAGCTTTTCACCTTCCAGTCAAGGAGCAAAAATTAATTACCATGGCCCTGTTACCTCGTGGTACATTTTTTGCTTAAACTGGCAGGAACAGTTTGTGAACTTTTAAATATGGGCTGGGGGCAGGATGGGGTGCTAATAGACACAGGGAAGGAGGGGGAGGAGGCAGCCCCTGGGCTCACCCTAAAACCCCCTGGAAGGGCTGGGCCTGGTTGTGGGTGAACCCTGCATTCAACACATAAGTCTGTGGCCTGACCTGTCCTTTCAATGCATTCAGCACCAAATAATGCACTAATGATAATGGACTCAAACAATCTGAGGTTCCATAATCACCTCCCCTCGGACAGATGTTGAATGGACGGTCACCAGAAGGGTTGTCTCGATCATATCCTTTAGTCATGTCTTGTCCTTTTCTCTTTTGGGCACTATTTCAAATAACAAATAGAAAAGCTGATGTTCCCGTGCCCCTGGTTTTGAAGATATATGGGCAGCCCCAAAGTCCTTTGATTAGGGAGCCATATTTGATATCCATGCAAGGTCTCTCATTCTGAATTCATTGAGCTTTTCAGAAARCTGACAGCATTAGCCTAATATCATTAATTCTCACCACAGTCCTGTGAGGGAAGCAGGTGGCACACATTATTTCAGCTGTTTTGCAGATGGAGAGATAGAGGTGAAGGGAGGTTAAGTGTTGCATCCACTTTGCCCTGATGATCTGGGAATAGAATTCAGTCTCAGGCCCACAAGGTTATGAGGTCTCCTTCCTGGGAGTCACAAAGGCTCAACTGAGGTTCTCTGGAAAACAGGTAGGGGCTCAGAGGACAGAGGGGAAGTCAAAGCTGTCCACTTTTTATAAGAGGAACCATTATTGCTTCAATTACCATTATTTGTTTGCAGCACTTATAACATGGGATTACAAAAGGAAACAGCAAACAATGGCATGGCGAAATTATGTTCTTCCTTTCCTTTAAGCCTGGTGTTCTGTCTTGGATAAATAGACTGTGGAAGGACAAATAGGGTTGTTGCTTCTATTCAGGTTCAGAATCTCCAGGGGAGAGCAGGATGTGTGGACAGAGTCAGCTGGAAAACCACCCAGGCCAGACTCTTTAGGGCCTCTCCTGTTCACACTGGGCTTCTGCACCCCTTTTGTAATTTGTATTTTGTTGGCCCTTTCTGGATTCTTGTGTTCTCAGTGCGGTGGAGCACCTATATTTCTGTCTTTCCAGGTAATAATGAAGCTGAGCTTTTCTCAGAACCAGTTTTATGAGAAAAAAAGTGCGTCTTCAATGATGTTGAAAAGACCATTTTCCCTTAGACTTTTAATGTATTATGTTTTATGAGTAAATTGACAGATGGAAGTGATTAGATCTAACTATAGTAAGACTGGGATTTGTGGTATCTTTTATCTCAATCTAAGATGGAAACTGTTGATAGTTTATAGCTTTATGTTAGAAATACCTTTTGCTGTTTCTAGTGGGATCCACAATGCTCACTTGTATCCTAAGAGATAGTATAACCAATGGGGAGGGAACATGGGCTATATTYAGAGCCCTGCTCTGCTGGCAACCATGTGAAAGCTTTCTCATCTATAAAGTGGGTATTATAAATAACATGTGTCTCCTAGAATTTGTAGGAACCAGTGAATCGGTGCACACAAACCACTTAAGACTGGTGCATCATAAACAATAAATCAATGTTGGCATTTTTATGCATAATGCTTGGAATATACTATTTATTTAGCGGGAGAGTTTGTTTAGAGGGAGAGTTTATTTTGTATATGATTTGACCAACAAATGGTTTGTCTCATTTGCATGTTGGTAAATGTGGTTTGTTCCCTCTGAAACTCACATTGAATTTTAATCACCATTATGAGAGATAATGGACCAAGTGGGATTTTTTAAGAGGTGATTAGGGCTCTTTCCTCACAAATAGATTAAAGAATTAATGGGTTAAAGATTATGTCCAAAGAGGGTCTGCTATGAAATTCAGTTTGGGCAGATCTCTCACAACCTCCCTTTCTTTTACTATGTGATACCCTGTACCACCTCGGGACTCTGCCATCAAGAAGGCCATTACCAGGTGTAGCCCCTTGACCTTGGATCAGAACTCTAGGAGCCCAAATAAACCCATTTGCTTTTTCACTTACCTAGTATATGGTATTGTGTTATTAGCAACAAAAATGTCCTAAGATGCATATTAAAATGACGAAAGCAACCAATTCAGATCTGTCATAGTCTGGTTATTGCTAGTAGCTTAGTGGCCAGGTTGAACTGATTGCAGTAATAAGATACTACAAACTATTTGTAAAATAGTCACCTATGCCTGACTACCACAATTTCTTGCATCCATTTATTTATTTATACCCATCTATTCATTCGAACACCATTAAACATCTGCAAAGGGAAGTAAAAATTTGTAATGTCTACTCTCACCTTTTCCTTATTTGGGAAAAGACAGACACGTGGCATATGTCAGGTCATTGTGAGAAGGGCCAGGTGTGCTCCAGGTGATGAAGGGAGAAAATGTTTCAGTTGAGGCTTTATAGAGAGGTGGGGGTTAGCCAGGAAAGAAAGAGCATTTCAGAGGAGGGGAAAAGCCTGAACTACAATATGGGCTGGGAGAGTTTGATGGACAAGGACTCAGGCAACTGCCGTGGATGCACAGGGTGCAGTGGGGGAGGGCTGCCAGGTCCCAGCTGCTGCAAGCAACTCCTGAGCCCGGGGAGTCTGGACTTCATCCTGTGGGTCAGAGTGCTTAAGTGGGTGGGCAGCAGGGAGAAGAAGCAGTGAGCAGGAAGAGGGCAGAGAAAGGCCTCAGAATGAATCAGAGAACTTTCTAAGAGGCCTTCATGCTCCTGTTCCACATCAGAACAGGAGGATGAAGGGCAGTTACCCTAGAAATGGAGCAAAGTATAGAAGTTTCCTGGTGAGAGTCTAGGAAGTTGCTTCCACTCTACCCTTGACCCTTGAGAGGCTCCTTCCTTGGTCATGGGAGATGTGGAAGATTTCAAGCAGGGTCTGGCATATTCAGAGATGTATTTTAGAGCTTTCTCTAATAGTATGGAGAATGGGCTGCATCACAGGTTAGGGACAGATTAGGATGTGATTAATGTACAGAGTCAGCCAGTGGGGGCTCAGGTGTGAACTAAATAGGAAGCATTTAGACAATGGTCTCTTGTTGTGGCCTCTTGGACATGGATGTGGGAAGAGGGAGCTTTGTTTGGTATCCTTAATAGAGGTCAGAAGGAGGACAGAAGCAGTTGACTTTTTATTTGAGGTGCTAGCAAGAGTTCCCCCACAGATACATTTCAGTGGCAGCTCAGAAAAATAAACATGTTGTTCAGAAGAAAGGTCCTGTCTTTAAATTAGTGGTTTTGTTTTATAATCCTATCTAACCTATCTGAATATCAGACATGACTTCATTTAACGACAACAACAAAAGACCTTTCCTGTAACTCTTTCTTCAGCATTTATAAGAAACTGTGATGATGTATAAGATGGGATGAATGATTTTGTTCCTTATATGGAATATATTCAAGAACTTTCATACCTTCTAAACTGAATGAATCCCCGCCTCTCACCAATGTTAGACCGTTATTCTTGACCCTACTCCTTCTTCCACTCTCAAATTCTTGGTTCCTTTTAAAAGTTGCCTTGTTCTGTTTTGCAAGTTAAAGATTCACGGGTACGAAGAGTTTAATAAGGACATCGTGAAAGTAAATGGCAAGATTAAATAAGGGGGGGCGTGGAGAAAAGATAATAATTAGCCATCCAGAATTGAATTAAATATAACATCGAGGTTCCCAGGCAGAGAGGGGTCTTGAGAAAGGGGAAGAGAAGAGAGACTGAGTGTACTCGTGTTGATGTTCTTTTCTTGTATAAATTTTAAATCAAATTTGGCTTTAGATTTCTGGCAATGTAGACTCTGTGCAGAATGAGCTGGAAAATGGAGACTTCTTGCTTGCTACTTTTAGCTCTCACTATTCTGCTGAGACAACTTCTCGCTGGGTTCAGTGTATGGCAATGAAATGCAAATCATAACCGATGAGAGCTGGCCTCCGGGGAAAAGGGGTCCTGGATGTGATCCAAGGTCTGTAACACAGAGAAAAGACATATTTCTTTGTCACACACAGTAGATTCTCCCTGAGGGTTTCAGCGATGGGAATAAAATGACGGGGAGGGGGGTGGGTGAGTGGTAGTGGAAATCATTACAACGTTCTTCTCTCATATGAAAAACCAAACAAAAACAAACCCTCTGAGTGTGAACACAGACAAGCTGGAGGCCTGCGGCCCCTCTTCACAACACCCCACGTACTATGGCTATTACCCCAGGCGGCCAGATGCCATGCGCCTCAGTGTCCATGCGGAGCACACACAAACGTGAACTTGTCCTGGAGTTTGACCTGGGRTGGGGAAGCTGTCAAGTAAGTTTCAGATGATTTTTCAAAGCTTGTGTGTTCAGAAAAATTCAGAATATATTTTCCCCATCACTTTCCCTCTGAATATTTAAACCCATGCATGTTCTGAAGGAGATTTCATCCACATGTTTCTGATTCATTTACACTTAATTCGTCAAATTGTTGTTTTGTAAGCGTCATTTGATGTCCAAGGAGCTTTATGAGGGGGATATGTATATATATTTCAAACAGGATATCACTCATGCCAACACCAGTCAAATCAAGTGCAGAAGAACATCTGTCTGAACCTGAACTCGAAACCCAAGAGGTGTAAGATAGTAGGATGTGGGAGGAAGGGAAGAGGAGTTAGGAACTCCTCAATTTGCCAGAACACAAGGACCATTCTCTCATCTGTAATTATAACGCTGGGAATGGAGTCTTTTCGTTTAATTTCCTGAAGGAAAAAATGAATGCTGAGAACACCTTGTCCGTTGGAGGTCTGAGCCATCTGCTTGTGATTCTCAGTGAAGGTTGTTTTTCATCGACTCATTCATGAGGGTTCTGGGCTTCTTGCCGGTTTGCAGCAAGACCCGAGCCTTGAATAGAAATATTATAATTGATTTTCAAAACCATCTCGATGCTTGGTGACCAAACACCAGTGATTTTCAACAACAACAAAAATCTTTAAAGTGTTTTTAATGGATGCTCAGGCAGGCCTCAGTTGATACTACATGCTGGTCTTCTTGTTGGGGTCCCAGGGCAAGGGCTAGCTGGCACTGTGGCACAAATGTTGCACTTGGCCCTGATGTTCAGATTGGTTAAACATTATAACCAAGCCAAGAGCTGATTCTAACTTGTCCCTCCAGGGTGAAAGGCCAAATCAAGGCAACTTCTCTAAGGCTCTTGGAACTAAATCCTATCCTATTTTACCCCAAATATGTTCTCCTCATGTTGTCACTGTTCTAGTTTTGGAGGGGATGTCATATTGAACATGAAAAAACTGTCAGAGGGATTAAGAAATAATACAGGAAGCCCACTGTGATGGTGTACCCATACCTGTAATCCTAGGTATTGGGAGGCTGAGGCAGGAGGATCCCAAGTTTAAGGCCAGCCTTGGCAACCTAATGAAACCCTGTCTCAAAATAGAAAAGGACTAGGGATGTAGCCCAGTGGTAAATTGACTCTGGGTTTAGGGAAAGAGAGATAAAGAGACAGAAAGGAAGAAAGGAGGAGCCAACAAAAGGTTGATTAACCACAACCTAGAGAAACCTTCTGCTTTAACATAAAACCTTGGGCCATTGACAATTATGTACTGATTTGGGTAGAGGGGAGAAAGATTATCTTCAAACACATTTATAATTTCAATGAAGACCATCTCTGGGTTAGTTGATGTTAAATAAGACATTTTTATGCCATGTAAAATCTGATCCATGTTGCTGAATCATTTATATTTATTGAATATGTACACTTTACACATAAGTATAAGTTGCTTTTTAGATGTTTTCAGAAAGTARGGCTTTGAACCCTGGATAGCAATTTGATTGAGACTTGCTATAGTCAAAAATAAAATAATTACAGGGTAAATTCAGTGTTCTGGCTTTGAGTTCATGCTTGTAACWCCTATCCAAGGTCTCTGATCAGCGTGCAATATGCATTTCACTGTCATGACCTTGGTTGATTTTTGTCTGAACCGGTGCAATTGAGTTATAAGAAATCAGCCAAGAAGGGTCCCCGTGGAGAAGTTATGGGGAATTGTGTTTGTATTTTTACTGCCAGTACAGGGCTTAAGTGGAAACTAAGAATAGGAAGCACTTGTGCTTTGCTTTCTGACAGTTAATCTGTACTCCAGACTTTTAAAATCCTAGTTTCTACTCCTTGCCTTGATAGGATGTGTGTGAGTGCAATGGGAAATCGTAGCTTCCAGTGTCCTTTGTCCTTCATTGTCTCCACTGGTACAATGCACTACTGGTAAGGTTACAGATAAGAAAATAGAAACTGTCATCTAGTAAGAAAAGGTTGATTGTGAAAAATAAAAGCAGTGTTAAAATAAGATACAATGAAACAGAAATCTTGTTTAATTAAAGGTTATTTACTTAGAAGGACTTTCAATCGAATGTAAGCTCCATGAAGATGGGGATGTTGGCTTATTTTGTTCCAGTTTCTGGAACAGTGCCCAGCCCATAATAGGCATTCAGTAAATATTCGTTAAATGAGAGAATTGATGTATAAAAGGGGTGCAGTGTGGAGTGGTGATCTGCTTTATCTCTCCTCAGACAAAGCAGTGGACTGGCGGGTAGGGAAGAGGGCAGGTAGGAGGGTGCCTGCAGGGTAGCACCAGATCTGGAGCCTGGTCCCCTGTGTGGTCCTGCTTTTACAGTGTATCTGAGGGTGCTGCTGGCTGAGGGGCAAACATGAAGGTTCTCTAAGGACAAAACAGGCCCTCATGCAGAAGGAGCACTTTCCTGTCTCTTGGCCTGAGGCCCAGGGCCAGAGGTCATGACATCAGTGGCAGCTCTCAGATCATCAAGCCTTCTACTCCTAAAAGGTAGGGGTGCTGAAGAAGTAATATGGGGAGAATTTAGAAAGTTTGCATCAATTCTTGCATTCTGGAGGAATGCAAACTCAATGTCCCAATTTAAGTGAGTTAAGAAACATGGAAGTTACTTTAGAGACTATCACCATGTTGGTTTTAGGGGTGTATTAGTCTCTGGCTGCCATGACAAAATACCACAGGCTGGGTGGCTTCGGCAGCAGAAATTTATTTTCTCTCAATTCTGGAAGCTGGAAGTTCAAGACCAAAATGTTGGCAGGTTTGGGCTCTCCTGAGGCCTCCCTTCCTGGCTGGCAGATGGGATCTTCCGGCTGTGTCCTCACATGACCTCTTCCCTGTGTGGGCTGGTGGGGTGCTGGTATCTCCTTCTCTTTTTATAAGAACAGCAGTCCTATTGGATTGGGGATCTACCCTCATGACCTCATTTAACCTTAACTACCTCCCTAAAGGACCTCATCTCCAAATCTTAGGGGGGGTGGGGGGTGTGGAGGGGTGGGGGCGGGCAAAGATTCAACAGAAGAATTTCAGAAGAGACACAGCTCAGTCCATAATAGGGTGTGCTGTCAGGTTAAAGTGGAGATGCCAACACCGAGGGCCACTTCAGAGGCCTTGCCAACAGTTTTAGTGAAGCAGATAAAGTTATTGAAAATTAAGGATCTTCTCATGTGTCAAGGGGGCGGCGTGTTCTCTGATCTCTGGCTCCTATTTAAAGCACCAGTATGACTATGGGATTGCGGCATCAGTCATGCCACAAGATATATATAAAGCCCAAGGCCTGCTTTGTGGTTGAAAAGCCTGGCAACAGGCATGTTCCGTAGGAAGAGAGCCAGCCTATTTCTTTATCCATTTATTTTTAAAAGCAAGCTATATACTGGAAATGTAGTACTCAGGATTTCAAATCCTCTTGCAGACCACTGAAATGCAAAGCAAATTATTGACCAGTATGTCAGCATTCCTGRGAGGAATTTCTATTCCCTTTAATATTGAGAAGAGCAATCTAGAAATTTAGGGTTAGAAGGACTCTCAGAGAAATCTATATCCACATTTTATTAACAAGGTTCCACAGAACCAGGGGAGTTGAAATTTAATTAATATCTTCCAGCTAATCAGGGCAGAGGCAGGAGGAGCACCCAAGGTCCCAAGGGCACATGGTCTTTTTTAAAAGTGCCCAGAGCCTTCTGCTGGGCTGACTTTACCTGGATGGCCAGGAGGGCTTCCACCATTTGCTTTCATTCTTATTTAATCAACCAGTGGGCAAGTGTTTGATGAATCTGTATTCTGCACTCAACAACAACACAGAAAAGCACCTGACATCATTTCCAGAGTTTTAAAGTCTGGTTTTGAATGGTCAGACTCACAATGGAGAAAAGAATACAAGAGCATATTCAATTTCACAGAAGCAGCTAAGATCCAAATGGGCTTCTAGAGACTACTAGTCACTTTGGAGCCTTTTAAGGGGGTTTGGGGTCCGATCTGGACTTGAGTTCAACTTTGTTTTCACCTGGGTGACCTGCAGCAGCCTCTGGGCTCACTGAGCCTCAGTTTCCCCATTTAAGAGGAGGAGACCGCAGAGCTGGGGACAGATGCATCTGGCTGTGGAGGTGTGTGGTTATTGTTACCACATACTGCACTCCCAGCTGCTGTCAGAAACAGCTGCCATTGACAATGCCTCTGCCCCCAGTGACAGACAGCAGAAGGTTGACAGGAATTTAGCCCCCAGCTGGCCCTTAACCTGTGAAGGTGGTTTCATTTTTATGGAATGACTAACATTTCCATAATGCTCTCTTATTTTCTCCAAGATCCTGACAGGTAGGTTTTCTTGCAGACCYGTTTGTAGTTCCTCTGTGTTCCTCCTTTGCCACACACAAGTATGATTCTTTATTTCTTTCCACTCCTCAAGTCAGAAGAAAACTTGCACTTTTGGTTTGTTTGATTTTYTTTTTTACTTATATTGTAGTGAACTCTTCCAATGTTTCAATAAACAAATGGTTTTTTTATAATACAGGAACCCAGAGAATCTTTAAGTGTAAATTCCAGTTCTGTATCCACCCAGTGTGACCTTGAGGAAATGACTTCTCTTTTGTGTGCCTATTTCCTCATCTATAAAATGGAGATGATCATATCTGAGTATTGTATGGTTGTTATCATTATGCCAGCTAGTCCATGAAAAACACTTAGTGTGCTGCTCAGCACACTGTAAGTGCTAAATAAGGATTAGCTATTTTTATCACTATTATTATTGTCATCATCATCTTCATTATCAAGACTTTTAAGAGGAGATGAAATTGAGGACTACTTTGAATAAAGATGGAAATAAAATAAAGAAGGAAATCTCAGAACTAAATTCTCCAGGTATTGATCTGTGAATGCACTGGAGTCTTATGGTTAGCCCTGGGGAATAGAGATAAACTTGACAGTAATTCACTCCTTATCTGTGTGGGAGTAGGGGACTGTTCCAAGATGTTCCACAGGTGTC